TCAGGAGTGATCTCTGAGAGCAGAGCCCTGATTAAGCCCTGAGCACCACCAGATGTGGCCCTCAAACCAACCAAACCAACCAAACCAACCAAACTCCCCCCATAAAAACTAGTTACACTGGTGGAAGGATAGGTGTTGAAAACTGTATGACTGAAAACCTGAATTTAGCTTTTTAACTCTGTATGTCACAGTGATTTAAAACAAACAAACAAACAAAACTACTTACATTTAGAGATAATGAGGAGGAAAAGGTGGGGTGGAATGGGAAATGTAATCACACCATAGCAATAGCTAGGGAAAGTAAATTAGAGAAGTCATCTTGGAGTAATTTTGGCTTAGTAGTTACAAAAGAGTGAACTATCACTGTTTTTGTTTGCTTGCTTGCTCGCAAAGTTTTCAAGTTTTTTATTCAAAGTAGAAAGCCAGGGCATTCACAAGCTCACAGTTCTGTTCTTAGTTCTTTCTTGGGTCTCTTAGAATGGTGTTTCCAACCTGTTCACACCTGTAGACCAAAGGTGGTCCATGGACTGGAGGCTGAAAACCAGCCTTAGAACACTTTTCAGGAACTGCTTATACTTTCTCTCTTGATTTCCAGTATGAGTTAAGTGGTTGGCAGAGCGTAATCTCAAGTACATAAATGTCTCTAGGAAAGGGCTACAGAAATAAAGTTCCAGATTTTTTACCAAAAGTAGTATCAAAATGACAGGTTCTATTTCTAATGTAATCAAATTCTAATCATGTAAACAGTTTCTTTATCTTAATTTCTTTTCCTTTTGTCTATGGAGGATGACATGGAGAGAGAAAAGTTATATTTCAATTTTGCCTTTAATGAGTTTCAGGCCCACAACACTCACCAATTCAAAGAAAGAATTTGCAAGGCTATCAGGCTGGTTTCTAGTTATTCTAGAAAAGGCCATTAAATCTCAAGTCAGTAAATTCGAATAGGAAACATTCAGTTTTTCCATTTTTATTTATTTAATGGGGCTGGATCTAAAGCACAGTGGGTAGGGTGTTTGCCTTGCACAAGGCTGACCTGGTTTCGATTCCTCTGCCCCTCTCGGAGAGCCCAGCAAGCTACCAAGAGTATCTAGCCCACATGGCAAAGCCTGGCAAGCTACTTGTGGCATATTCAATATGACAAAAAGAGTAACAACAAATTGTGAGACATTACTGGTGCCTGCTCGACAGTACTACAGTGGTATCAGGGATTGAGCCGAGTACCTCATAATGCAAGGCAGGTTCTAATGGCTGGACTATATTTTTAGTGCACTTTTAATTTATTTAATGGATGCATTTTTAAGCAATATTCGAAATGTTACATCAAATACTGAATAGATATTTGTCACTAACAAATTAGCATTTACCTCATCATTATTATTTTGGGGGGCCATACCTGACAGTGCTCAGAGATTACTCCTAGTGGTGCTCAAAGACCATATTTGGTTCTGGGGATCAAACCCATGTTGGTTGCATGCAAGATGAGTGCCTTACTCACTATATTATCAGGGTCTCAAACAGCACAACTGCCAGGAGAAGTGCATGTGGACTGCACCAAAAATGGAAGGCATCATGATCTCAGGCTTGTAAGGGAGGTGCTCTAGATACTGATCCATATTCTGGCCACCCTTCTTCACCTTGAAGGAAAGTATTTAAAGAAAAAGTCTTCATTCCATAATACTCTTAACTGTCAGTATAAAATCGCACTATTACAAATTCATTAGGGCCAATAAGACACATTTTCCACTTATTTGTGCTTTTGCAAAATCCAAACCCATGAATAAAAATAATTTTTATTTTTACATAAAAGGAATTTGTTATCCATCCTTATCTTCAGAATCACTGCAAAAACCCTACCTTACAAAAGGTGATGCAAACAAGAGCTTCACAGTCTCTAAGGACTGAGAAATTAAAAATTAATTTCTAATTAAAAACCATTTGCCTGGGGGTATGGTGCTGCCAGCACAGTCTGTACCTGTGAGGTGAGAGCATCAGCAGCCTCATGGCGCCTTCAGACTTCCAGATACCCGAAAATTGCTGCTGTGCCTTTGGCCAGACCCCAAAAACTTGGGGCAAAGTTTACCAAGAAAGTAAACGGCCAAAAGTTAGGAATATGGGAGACACACCCCCAAACCACCTCAGGCTCAGCTATATAATTGGAGGCATGGCCTCTCTGATTCCTGATTGAACTGCTTAACGGCCATGATCCCAGAGACTCAGAAACAAATCTCGAAACCCAACGGCTTTTGGCAGAAATTCGTCCAGTCCCTGTAGTAGGTTACTGGCGCTGGGCCACCCCAGGTGGGAATAGGTTTCGTGCCTTGGCCTGTTCCCCCTGGCAGCCCAGTGGCCGCCATCCTCCAGAGGCCCATGAACGTCCTCTCTGACTCCTGATCAAGCTGCCTAACGGCCATGATCCCAGAGACTCAGAAACAAATCTTGAAACCCAGTGGCTTTTGGCAGAAGTGTGTCCAGACCCCACAGTAGGTAACTGTCGCCAGGCCACCCCAGGTGGGAAAGGGTATTGTCCCTCCGCCTGCTCCCCCTTGGTGGCTCGGTGGCCGCCATCCGCCAGAGGCCATTGGACAGTCAGGTTCGGGCCCGCAGTGACGAGACACATGGGGCCTCAAGGGATGGGGGTGGAGCCGGTCCTTTCCTCCCCTTTCCAATGAGACCCTGAATTGCTGCCCTTGAATGGCCTTTCTGGCTCCTGATCAAGCTGCTTAATGGCCATGATCCAAGAGACTCAGGAACAAATCTCGAAACCCAGCAGGTTTTGGCAGAAATCCCTCCAGATTTCATTGTTAAAATTTAGGAATTTCAAAATTGCGTGGCCACTGCTGTAGCCACGCGACATCATATGTTATTCATAACCAGCAATAGAAAACAAACTGTCTACTGTTGCCTTTTCAGCAGACCTGAGTATTGGGGTAAAATCATAAATAATACTGGTGGGTCTGGTTTCAAAATGTTGAATGTAATCAAAGTAGAGAGAGAGTAATGTGGAAATCATCTGCCCCACAGGGAGGGGGAGGGTATGGGACGGGGGTATATTGGGGTTTTTGGGGGTGGAGAATGGGCACTGAAGGTACAGGTGTTTCATTATATGACTGAGATTTATTGCTGTAGGCTTGTGGTAGATGGCTTTAACTATATTAAGGAAAGTCCCCTCTATCCCCATTTTGGCGAGGGGTTTCATTATAAATGGGTGCTGGATCTTGTCAAATGCTTTCTCTGAATCTATTGATATGATCATATGATTTTTATCTTTTCTTTTGTTGATATGATGGATTATGTTGATTGATTTCCGAGTGTTAAACCATCCTTGCCTCCCTGGAATGAACCCCACTTGGTCATGGTGCATGATCTTTTTGATGAGTAGTTGAATTCTATTTGCTAGTATTTTGTTGAGGATCTTCGTATCTGTGTTCATCAGGGATATCGGCCTGTAGTTTTCTTTTCTTGTGGTGTCTTTGTTTCCTTTTGGTATTAGAGAGATATGGGCTTCATAGAAATTGTTTGGGAGAGTTTCTGTTTTTTCAATTTCCTGGAAAAACTTGAGAAGGACTGGCAGTGGGTCCTCTTTAAATGTTTGGAAAAATTCACTAGTGAATCCATCTGGACCTAGGCTTTTGTTTTTGGGAAGACTTTTGATTACAGTTTCAATTTCCTTGATGTTAACAGGATATGACTGAGGTTTAAACCTGAAAGCTTTGTGACTGCTCTCACAGTGATTCAATAAATTAAATTATAAAAAATGGGGAAAAAAAAGTAAGGTGGAGTTCATGCCCAATTCAGTCGGCTAACCAGTGGCTGAATAAATAGCAGTACTCCTACATAAAAAAAAAAAAGCCATCTGCCCACCCATTGAAGGATGGCTCCCATTCTCTTTTCAGTGTTTGGCCTCCAATCTCAGTTAGGTTTGAGTGTGATGTGTCCCCCATTCTTCCCAAGGGCTAATGGCACACAGAAGCCAGGGTCATAGGAATAGGGTCTCAGCATCTTTACCAAGCTTTCCAGCGAGTGTTTCCAAACCAGGCAGACCAGAATCTCCTGGGAAGCTTTGAAGCCTCAAGGCTTCATTCCTTCAGATTTTGATTCAATAGATTTGAAATTGGAATTCAGAAACCTTAAAACTTAAAAAAAATTTAAGGAGCTGGAGTGATAGTACAGTGGGCAGGGAGTTTGACTTGCATGTGGCCGACCAGGGTTTGATTCCCAACATCCCATATGGTTCCCCAAGCACCACCAGGAGTAATTCCTCAGTGCATGAGCCAGGAGTAACCGCTGAGCATCGCTGGGTGTGATCCAAAAAGAAAAAAAAAGTAAAACAGACTTCCCAAATGGTTCTGATCAACGTATCTGGGAGCCATCAACATAGGGGCTAAGGTCTCTCAAATAACTCTTAAGGTATTCATCCTTTTGGGTGGGTTATAAATCACCATCTAGTGAGAATTAAACAAATTAAACTGTTGAGAAGTGAGTTGATATTGAAAATCTGCCCGATTAACAACCTAATATCTGATGATTTTCTGTTCACTCTCCACCCAGGCATGGTCTGTACACAATATTTTTTTCGTAGCTGTGCTCTCCTGCCCTCACTCACATAAAATGCACATAAACAAGCCGCTCCACAGGATTTGATTCCATTAACCTTCCCCTATTCCATGCAGTTTCCCAGAGCTGTGAGCAAAAGATCTATTTATGGATACTACACCCATCAATGTCACTGGGAGTATCAAGACATCAGCCCAGACACCTGCAAACCCCTACCCCCACCACACTGTTAGGGAGACCCTAAAAATATCTGATTAATTAATCTCTCACCAGACAAGACAACTCAGTTAAAAAGACTATTCTTGAAGCCAGAGAAAAGCAATAGTGACTAGAAGTTTTAAAAATAGTAACTTTTGAGTCACTTTCAGTAGTTCAAAACTTAAAGGTATCCAAAGTTCAGATAAGAAAGTCTCCAAAAGCAATGAACCACAAAGAATTTGGAAAAAGACCTTCTCTCTTATTTTATTTGCTGTCTGAAATCATTAGATTGAGATATCAACATATATCAAATGCAAAAATAAGCTCAAAACCAGGTGAGAATTATGATTCTTAAAACACAGATGTGCGGATCAGGGAAATGGCACATGTCTGGCTACTCTGAGATCCTGGGTTCCACCAAAGAAAAATAAAACAACAGAAAAAACAGAGGGGCCAGATGGATAGCACAGGAGGTAAGGCACTTGCCTTGCATGCAGCGGGTCCCACTTCAATCCTGCACTACATATGGTTCCCTGAACATTGCCAGGAAGAGTCAGGAACAGCTCCTCAACAAAAATATAAATGGTAAAATCAATGGGGTGGGGATGGGGCGAGGGAAGAGAAGGGAAGAGAGAAAGAGACAGAGACAGAGAGACAAAGACAGAGAGAGATAAAGAGAGACACACAGAGAGAGACAGAGAGATAGGAGAGAATAATTGGAAGGAAAAAAAAATTTTAAAAATCTACAAGGCATGAGACCACAGTGGGTTTAGGTATCTTCCCTGCACTCAGCTGACCTGGATTTGGTCCCTGGCACCAACATATGGTCGTTCAAGACCACAAGGAGTGAATCTTGAGCACAGAGACAGGAGTAAGCCCTTAGCACCACTGGGTGTGCCCTCCACCCTGCCCCCCTAAAAAAAAAGAGACACAGATACTGAGTTCCACAGAATCCCAGATCCCAGAGCAAAGAGTGAGGTGACTTTTCTTATCCCGAAGGTTCTGACGGAGCCAGAGGGGCAGCAGCAGATGAGAGCCAAGTTGTTGGGGCTGCAGAAATGCACGCGGCCTCAGATGTCTTTCCAGGTGCGGCTGGTCCTGCTCACTAGACAGTTCACTGTGCTTGATGCAACTCAGGCAGGGCCCACCGAGTAGCAGAGATGGAAAAAACACTTAAGACTGTGAGGAAAAACAACCGTTAGCAGCAGGTCCAGCCAGAGGAGGACTTGGTTTCTATGTTGATGTAGTTCCCTTGGGTGGACAACGACAGGGTGTCTTCTTTGGAATTGTTCATCATTTTTTCAATGAGAACCCTGAAACACAAATTAAAATAGTCTGAGAAGGTGGATGAAGGAAAGGAGCAAACTGCCAACTTTGTCTTATTTCAGCATTCAGCAAAGTCACGCTTTTAAATGTTTTTGTCCCCAGTTATCTCAAGAAAGAAGACAGCGCCCTACCTTCAAAAACTGGCTCCCATGGGTAGAGGCAAGGGGCCATAGTAAAGATGGGTAAACCTGTGTACTCATCCCCAGAATAGCACTAGCTTCTCACCTCATGGACTCATTAATGTTCTTGTTTTCCTTGACTGATGTCTCTGTCCAACCTGTGAAGCCATTCTCTTTACTGAACCGATCAACCTGGTCTCGGCTCACCGCCCAAGGGGACAGGTCACACTGGCAAAAGAGGACATGAAAGGCAACATCATAGAATTCCCCGGAATAAGAACCTTGCTCCCATATCTGCAGATTTAAAACATTTCTACCAACGGCTATGATGTTAGCATCTAAAATCCACTGTCAATATTCTCAAGGGAGGCAGATAGGATTTGCCAATTTGAGAAGGAAAGTGGTGGCCAGTCAGAAAGCATTTAGATACACTTACTGTGACACCAGCCAAAGGCCAAGACTATTCCCCCAGGAGGAGCAGCATGTTCCAAATACCTTGTTGGCCAGGAGCAGGCAGGGCACAGGATCCCCATTGGGCAGTGTGAGTTTGCTGTCCAGGTCCTGTTTCCATCTCTGGCTGTTGCTGAAGGTAGTGGCATTGGTAACATCAAACATAATAACACAGGCAGAGGCATCCCGGTAATACAGACGGGTCATAGAGGTGAAGCGTTCTTGCCCTGGGTAGGAAGGAAAGTTCTTAATAAGGCAACCCTGAGAACCTTTCACCAACCCTTTTAGACACTCAATCCTTCCCATCTTGGGAGAGAGGGCAGTACACAGAATGGCAAAGTCTGGCAAAGTCTGGATTCTGCGCCCAGATTATCCAAGTTGCACAAGGTAAACCAATTAGATTTGATTTTAAAATGAATTCCTGCTCTTTCATTTACTTGATGACTTGGGGCATGTCATGCTTACTTACAGTGCTTATATTTCTTGTCTGTCTAAATTGCTATCTTTTTGGGGGGCGGGGGTGGTGGGAATGGGATGTGCCGCACCTGGAGGTGCTCAGGGATTATTCTTGGCTCTGTGTTCAGCGGTCGCTCCTGGCTGGGTTCAGGGGGCCACATGGGGTGCATGGATCCAACCTGGGTTAGCTGTGCAAGGCAAACATTCTACCCACCTGCACTGTCTCTCCAGGCCCAAAGTTGCTACTTTTATCATATGGAGTTATGAGGATTAATGGGTCTGCGAATCTAAAATACTTAGAAAAGACCTTGGGACATACTAAGGTTTAGCTATCACCATCATCATCACCATCATCATCATCATCATCACCACCATCATCATCATCATCATCATCATCATCATTATCATCTGTATATCCTGGGGAACCTGTTTCTCACCAAGCTCAGCTCAAAGTCCAGAAATAGCACACTGCCTCTTCTTAGAGAAGTAACCAAGGACTGGACAACCCACCACCTCTCTAACTTGTCATTCTTCCTCCCACATAGCGACAGTTTTTCATTTACTCAGGACAAAACATCTACAGCAAACACCTACAGAAGCTCTACAATTGTTCAGCTCATGTATCTTCAGAGCAGCTCAATCATTCCAACTTCAGAAAAAGAAAAAAAAGTCTCATATTTCTTCTGAGCACTCACTAGCACTTGCTGGTTAAATCAGAATGTCTTCTGCTCTTGGGGCTGGAGCGATAGCACAGAGGTATGGAGTTTGCCTTGTACGCAACTGACCCAGGTTTGATCCCCAGCATCCCATATGGTCCCCCGAGCACCGCCAGGAGTAATTTCTGTGTGCAGAGCCAGGAGTAATCCCTGAGTGTCGCTGGGTGTGACCCAGAAAGAAAAAAAAAAAACAACAGAATGTCTTCTGCTCTGATCCCATCTTCCCAGCCTACCTGCAATGTCCCACAGCTGGAGCCGCACCACCTCGGAGTCGGACCACTGGAGAACCTTCAGAGCAAAATCCACTGAAAATACATGCATCATACACTTTAGCAAAAAAGGTTACCTTAAAAATTCATTCCATGTTACACTTGACCAAATTTGTAGTTACAAGCCCAGGGGATACACAACTTAAATTTTATCTATTTATTTTTAATTGATTTGGATTTGGCACCACACCCAGGGGTGCTCAGAGCTTGCTCCTGGCTCTGTGCTCAGTGGGCTGAGAGATGAACCACCACCCACATAGTAAGTGTAGGACCTGAAGGGGTCTCCAGGCTTCTGGTCAAATCAACTTATTTGATACCATCTATCTCTGAGACTAAAAACAGGAGAATGAAAGTAACAAAAACAACTCAGAACAAATGAGATTGCTTGTTCCTGGGAGATTCCGATTTCTTTCTCAGGGAAGTGATGATGGCACGGAGGCATCTCTCATACTGAATTCACTATTGGTTTCTAATCCAATTATACTGTAAGAAAAAACCCTCTCTGGAGGAATTCCATATCCTCCATGAGGATGCAGGACTTTATGTGGGCAGAAACAGAATAAAAGGGATGATGCCTGAGAGCTATGCTGCCATTGATGCTGCATCTCTAGGTGCAGGGACTCCCTGAGTTATGACTGAGAGTATGTAGATGGGGGAAGTCTCTTAAAAGGAGAGAAATAAGATCCCTTTTGAAGTTTGGAGGCATATTCTTCCACATTTATGACAAATAGAAGCTAAGGGAAATTTAAAAAAAACACTAAAAATAATTACATTCTTTTTGCTAAGAAGAAAACCAGAGAAATAGTTAAAAACTGGAGATCAGGCCACTTTCGATCCAGATCCATGAAATCAGGACCCTCATAATTTTTGGGAGTGGAAGTCAGAGCATATGGGGTCAGGAAACAGTCTTTGAACCCTTAATTTTGTTGGACATTCTTTAGTAGGCTCTTTTAGTTGCTTGGTAATTTAAAAAAATCCACTAGTACACATTTTGAAATTATATACTCTACAAATTATTTTTTTCTTTTAAAATATTATTGTGGGTGGAGATTATACTCAAAGTACTGAAGTTTGTGCCTTGCTTAGAGAGCTCTGAGTTCGATTCCCAGCACCACGTGGTCCTTGGCTCCATTGGGTCAGCCCTAATGGGCTCCAGCACTGCAGAGCGTAAGCAAATCTGCGAGCTCAGGCCTTATGTTTGAACCACCCAGTCCAGTTGGCCAAGTACTGCCAGGAGTACCCTGGGTCACTTTACCACTTATTGAGAGCCCCTCAGGTGCCCCCTGTAAAGTTGAGGGGAGATAAGTGTTTAAGTTACTCTCTCTTATGAGAGAGGACTAAAGGGAGACTTGAGTACCAGATCACCATGACACCCAGGACCACGTGGTGCTGGGAATCGAACTCAGAGCTCTCTATGCAAGGCACAAACTTCAGTACTTTGAGTAATCTCCTCCCACAATAATATTTTAAAAGAAAAAAATAACTTGTAGTGTATATAATTTGAAAATGGGGAAGGGGAAGGACAGTAAGGAAAATAAGGGGAAGGACAGTAAGGAAAATAAATCAAAGCGGCAAGGAGGAAGAGGCCGAAGGGAAGCGGGGTGGTGATGGTGGTGGCGGGAGGGCGCAGGTCAGGGTCAAGGGTACATCAGTGTTGTTGAGGAGTGGTACCGTTCTATATTCAAACCACAGAATCAACAACACTGAAAACATGAGATCCAAACTACAACCACCAAATTTTAAAATGCTGGGCTAGACAAAGTACAGCGGGGAGGGCGCTGCCTTGAACATGACCAACTTGACCAACCACACGATTCAATCACTAGCATCCCATATGGTCCCCTGAGCCCCACTAGGAGTGATCCCTGAGCACAGAGCCAGGAGTAAACCCTGAGCACTGCCAGGTGTGGCCCCCCAAACAAAAACCAAAGAAGCAAAAAGTGCCTGTCAAAGTGACAGTTGAGGGGGCGGGGGGGGGGGGGTGTGTAGGTGAAGGGTGGGAAGGAACTTGGGAACACTGATGGAAGGACATTGACACTGGTGGTGGGATTGGCACTAGGATACTATATACCTAAAACTCCACCATCAGTAACTTTGTAAATCCTGGCTCTTCAATAACATATTTTGTTAAAAAGTTGCTCTCCCTCTCACTAGATTTTCTAGTTAATGAAAACTCATTTCTTTCTTTTTTCTTTAACACACACACACACACACACACACACACACACACACACACACACACACAAATAACCTTTCTTAGGTAGCTTGGGAAGGAATTGAATTCGTGGCGTTCTCTTCCTTCCTCTCCTCCCCAGAATGAGAGAGGAGAGAGAAAAAAGGGGTGCGCAGGCAGATCAGAGAAGTGGCAATTTCACATTCTTCAAGAGTCCCTGAGCTGCTTCGATGCACGGAACTGACGGTGTAAAAGCCCGGTCTGGGCCGCGCAGAGCACGGCTGATCGCACGCCGACGCCCCAGCCCCCCGCAGGGGTCGGAGCTGTGGCCTCGGCCCCGAGCGACGCCCGCTCAGTCCGGGCCTGGAAGCGGCGTGCGCGGCAGGCGGGCAGCGCGGCTGGCACCCGGGCAGGCCCCGCGCGCTGGCCGCGGCCACTTGGAGGAAGCGGGTCACCGGTGCGGGCTGGAGCGGTCACCGGACCGCGCTTCCCGCACGCTCGCGCATCTTCACACCTGCCCGGGGCTCCCTCCGGGCAGGGCCGGGCCGTCCTCCTCCCCGGAGGCCTGCACTGAGCGCCCCGCCGCCTCTCCCGCGGGGACCCCCTGCCGGCCACTTCCTGGGCCCCAACCCCGCTGCCATCCCCGAGCCTCTCACCTCCCACCGTGGACTTGTAGTGTTTGCTGAAGCTGTCCTGGGAATAGCGCTGCACCAGGGACGTCTTGCCCACCGCGGCGTCCCCCACCACCAGCACTTTGAACAGGTGATCGCGGCTACCCATGGCCGGCGGGGTAGACGTTTAGGGTGGCGGGAGGTGGTGGGGGAGTCGTTTGTCTGAACCCCGCTGGCTTCTGGCGCCCCTGAGACTGGAGTTGGGCATTCCCGCCCGCCGCCCGTCGGGGGCTGCCCTGACGAGAAAAGCAGAAAAAAAAAAAAGGGAAACTTGGCACCCGAGCTCCCCGCGCTTCCTCCCGGCTCGCCCGCAGCCGGGGTGGGGCGCGGGGCACGCGTCCGGGGCCCCGCCGGCGCGCCCCTGCTTCTCCCTGGGGCCAGCTGCCGGGAAACGGGACAGGCACCGCCGCACCTCAGCCGCCCGGACTTCCCCCGAGAGGCTCCCACAAGCTACTGAAGCCCCGACAGCTCATTTCCTGCCGGGGCCTGAGCAAAGAGGGCCCCTCCTCCCACGGCACAAACCGAGCTCGGGGACACAGCGCCTCACACCTGGACGCCCAGGCCGGGGTGCCGCCCCGTAGTCCCGGAGCCCAACTTGACGCGCGTCACGTGCGGTGGCTTCTGGGAAACTACATTTCCCAGCCTCCTCTGCGGCGAAGAAACCGGGGCAAAGGCAGAGACTCGCTCCCGATGCCTCTCGGGAAATGTAGTTTCTAGGCTTTTTTGTTGTTTGTTTTGAACAGCCTGCAGTTTCATGGTTTTCGAACTCGTAGGTTTGGAAACTTATTTTAAGATATTCCTAGATCAGAAAAGATATTCAGGACAGGACAAAGCTCGGTGGGACGATCGCATACATTGCGTGCGGGAAGCCAGGTTTTGATACCTGGCATTTTACAGTCCCCTGAGCAACCCTGGAGCAACCCCACTTCCACTTCCCCCCAACAACCCCCTAATAGCCCCAGAGCATTGGCTGGTGTGACCCAAAAACCCAAAACCAAAAAGAAAAACACAAATAAAAAGAAGGAAGAAAGAAAGAGAGAAAGAGAGAAAGAAAGAAAGATCTTTCAGTGGTGATTCCCCCTGCTCTCCGCCCCCCACCGCTCCCTGCAACTATCTCAACTAAATCTGTCCCCAATTAGAGTTCTCATTAGCTTCCAAAGCTTTTTTGAAAATAGGGGTAAGATTAAAATCATTTCACATATCACTCAGATGCATAAATCCTTCCACAAGTAAAAACGAAATCTCATCCGTCATGCGTCAACTGAAATTAATTTTTCATTCTTTAAATTTACATATACAGGGACCGGAGCTATACTACAGCGGGCAGGGTGTTTGCCTTGCACGCAGCGACCAGGCTCCAGCCCCAGCACCCCATAGTGTCCCCTGAACGCTGCCAGGAGTAATCCTGAGTGGAGAGCCAGGAGTAATGCCTGTGCATCACCAGGCTGACCCCAAAAAGCTAAATAAATTTACATATACAAACCAGGGTTGTAAAGAAAAAGATGAAGGCTGGTCTTTATATTTTCCTTATGGCCCAATATGGGTCAAGTTCAGGGGCACTTGATAAAGAGAAGACCCTTAGAAAAACTCATGCCATTATATGCTAGTCATTAACATATGCTAATCAGTCACAGCAGTAAAGACAGAAAGCAAGAGACAATTCCCACCCTCTCTTCCATGATCCCTCCTCAAGCTAGTTGCTCATGCCATTTCAACTGGTTCACGATTTATTTAGACCAAAATAGATTACCAAGGTATTTGTTGTTCAGGAAGGAGAGGTCAAGCTGGACTCTTCTCCTTTAAAAGGTCTCAGACCCCCTGTCGATGTCCTTTTCCAATTTCCATTGACTTTTGCATAGTTGACAGATCTTAAAATTTGTTTCTCACATCGCTTCTGTGATACTGCTGTACCATCTTCGTGTTCCTATCTCTCTGTAGATCACTTTTTGTCAAGTTTTCTTTCTATTCAATCTTCTGCTATGGGAGCTTTTCCTAAGGCTTGATTCTTGGCCCTTATGCTGGTTGTGTGTGTGTGTGAGAGAGACACACGCACACACAGAGAGAGAGAGAGAGAGAGAGAGAGAGAGAGAGAGAGACTAAGATACAACCCAAATCTTACACACTCACAGGCATATACTCTACCATTGAGCCATATCCTGACACATTACACACCCTTTCTAATTAATTATCTTTCTTACCCGAAATTTATAATCAACAAATAAAATTTGTTTGTTTATTATGCTTACAGTTTAATTGAATAATTAAAAATCATGCCATTAATTAGTTATTTCCATTTTCTGTCCCCTCCATTTGTTTATTTGATATGTGAGTGAGGGGGCACACCTAAGCGGTACTCAGGACTTACTCCTGGCTCTGGGCTCAGGGATCACTCTTGGCAGTTCTCAGGGGACCATCTGCCAGATTTCCACTGTGTGGCTCTCTGTCTTTGTTTTGTCATCAAAGAGGCAAATCCAAACAAACTCACAACAAACCTCTAGAAAAGCTTAAAGAAGAGTCTAGTGCATAGCATGATGTCTGTCCTTCTACTTGAATTCCAGATTCCACTTGAGAGGTTTCAGTTTTTATCACCAATTTTCCAAAGAAGGCACCATAATTGGATCCCTTACCAAAGATTCCTGCTTGGTGGATAAGACAAACAGTCTGAACCCAGAGAGTAACACTTGTCTTTTAGTTCTTTTGTCAATAGCCGTCCTGTCTAGTGAGAAGATATCATTGCCGATTTGATTTCTCTGATGACTCACATTTCTCTGACTGAACATTTTTTCATACACTTGCTAGGCTTTTGTATGTTTTCTTTGGAGAGTTGCCTAGTCAAATAGGCAATGCAATGAACTCACTTTATGGTGCTGGGTGTGGAACAAAGGTCTCATGCATGCAAGGCAGATGCTCTGCTATCAAGCCACATCCCTGTCAATTTATTTGCTTATTTTGGAAGTGAATCCAGACTTTATTTCCAGTGATCCTTGACTGACTATGGCTGCCTGAAGATTTGGTGCTCAGGCCTGGTAGTGCTGGGGACTACCAGGACCATCCTAGCAATGCAGGATGTGCTGGGTATTGAACTCTGACCTCTGCACGCCAGGCATGCACTCTGATCTTTTGAGCAGTTTTTGCTCCCCACACCCTTATCCAATTTTAAAATTAGGCTATTAGGTGGGGTTGAAGCAATAGTACAATGGGTAGGATGTTTGTCTTGCACACAGCTGACCTGGCTTTGATCCCTAGCGTATCATATGGTTTCCCTAGCACCGTCAGGAATATTTCCTGATTGCAGAATCAGGAATGACCCTTGAGCATCTCCGCGTGTGGGAAAAGAACAAACAAACAAACAGATAAATTTGGCTATTTGCGGTTTTGTCCTGCTCTGTGTTCTGATATTGCAGAATTCTTTACCACCATCTCTATCATAGGAAGTCAGCAAGCACATCATCCTGAATTTTCCTCATAAACATTTCTACCCCTTGACCTTTGGGTTCTATCTCCAGTGCTACTTCCCTAGCTCACACTTAGAGCATCTTTCATCCAGGCAGGGACTCTAGTATCTTCTCTAGTTGTGGTGCTGTTTGAAGTGCTGGGGCTTATTTGTTCTTGAGCAATATCCTGGCCCCTGTTTCTTTGTTCTTCAGGTGGATTTTCCATTGTTTGTTACTCTACCATTTCCAAACTATCAGAGCTTGTGTCCAGAGCATATTTTCCTTACATTACCTGCCAAGCTCCCCATGGTGTATTCGATATGCCAAAAACAGTAACAACAAGTCTCACAATAGAGACATTACTGGTGCCTACTCGAGCAAATCAATGAACAGGAGGACAGTGACAGTGACAGTGACAGTGACCCTCAAACAGGTGAGGGGGCTTACTCTGCAAAAAGCCCATTTTCACTTCTGATTCAGTATCTTTCCCTGGATTTCTAAGATGAAGTTTATCTAAGCTTCATCTTAGAATAACCCTTCACATTTCTTCTCACATGCCTCAATCTTATCACCAGTTAAATTCTCGGAAATCTCGTGGGCATTTGTTACATGGGTAGGTCTGAATCGGTGGTGTGGGAAATGAAGGTATCTGCCCTTCCCTTGAATAAGATGCTTTCTTAACCGAACTGCTCTAGGAGAATGACAGCTTCAAGGCCAGACTCCCTTTCACCTTGGCTTTTTGGTGGCTCAGTCATGTGACCAATTTATAACAATTTAACTTAGAAGGATGTAGAACATTGCAAAGTTCATGGGAACTTCAATTACATAACTGACCTTGGCTCTGGTTTCGAGAGGAAAACATTGTATGTGTTCTAAATCAGGAAGCTGGGACATGAAGAGTTAAGAGGGAATATTAACAAGATTCTGGTGTCCCTTCAAACTACCGAGTTTCAATTTTTGCAGGCGATTTATCTGAAGTGAGGAGAGGAGAGGTGGCATCCTTGAAAGCGGAGTTTACCCTCCGGGTCGCCTGGGAGGTGCCTGGGTGGGTTAGGACTAATATAAGTTGGCTTTTGCTGTCCTGCAGGGCACAGACGTTATGTCTCACCAGCTCCATGTGATCATTGTCAAACTGTACCTGAGTTCTACTATATCCACTCAGTTTCTCAGGGAGCCATGGATCTCTGACTGAAGGAAGAAAAAGGAAAATTAGTTTTAGCTTTTTTCCTCTTCTTTCTCCTCTTGCAGAATAGAATTTAGGAAAGAGATGAATAATGAAATAAGACAAATTTATTTGGAAAATATGAGGGGGAGAGAAAAAGTTTTACACTCAAGAGAGAATGTGGGTTTCTCCTCAGTGGAGAACAAGTCCAGTGCATATTACAGGTGGGTGGGTGGGTGAGTCCCTATGGCAGAGAATGGGTTGAAGGAACATCTCAAGCAGGCTGTGAACCCCCTGCCATGAGGAAATTCATGCCTTTGTCTCTGAAAAGCTATTTTTTATACAGTTTCCCAAATTGCCCTCAAAGCCTGGTGCTAGGGTTGCTGCCAAAGGGGAAACTTGGGACTGTTGATGGTCTTTGACATTCTTAGCACAGCCTTTGTTCCTGCACTAGCACCTCCTCCCAGGGCACCCAGCCATGCTCTAAAGGGTTTCCAGACTGTTCACATGGGTTCCTGTGTCTCAAAAGCTCTTGTATTTTTGGGCTGGTTTGGATTCCAGCCAGCGTCTTTCCCAATATATAGTACCAGAGCCTCTCTATCTCTCTGCTTGCAACCCTATCAAGGGTGGGTGTAGGGACAAGGTTTATTTTTTAATTAATTTTTATTTATATTTAAAAATTCAATTAAAGGGGCTGGAGCAATAGCACAGCAGGTAGGGTGTTTGCCTTGCACACGGCTGATTGAATGGTTCGATTCCCAGCATCCCATATGGTTCCCCGAGCACCGCCAAGAGTAATTCCTGAGTGCATGAGCCAGGAGTAACCCCTGTGCATCGCTGGGCATGACCCAAAAAGAAAAAATAATTAAAGAACTATTATTTTCAAAGTTATAGATAGTTGATTTTTAAAAAAATTGAATACTGTGAGTATTCAATTACAAAGTTGTTCATGATAGAGTTACAAAGTTGTTCATGGTCGAGTTACAAAGTTGTTCATGATCGAGTTCAGTCATACAATGTTCCAACA